TCTCCGTATCATTATGGATTTATAATTTGAAAGGGAGAACGACACACGAGAGAGGTAAACAATTGGGAGAGAAAGAGAGAGTGAGAGAGAAAGAGACGAAGAGACCGAGACAACATGCGATATTTGCATAAGTGATATTCGTTGGTTTTAATTGGCCAGAAGATAACGCGGTTTATACGACCGTGTAAGAGACTTGTTTCTCAGGGTTTATCTCTTTAGGCGAGAAAATTTACATAGGGACCTAAAAGACTGTCTTGGAAAAGGCACACGACGTCTTTTGATAGGGTGAATTTTACCACAGTTTTTACGACCACGGCCGCCGCACACCCTTTTCGGTTTTATTTTTGATTCATTTTAGTAGTAATGACAAATTACACCAGAGGTGAGAGGCCGTACTGCGTACGAAAGTAAAGATTTGAAGACACAAACGTTATAATTATTTACACCCTTGTATCTTTTATACAAACGTTCAAACTTTGTGTACAAACTTACCTCGGTAGGAATACATAAAACGGTTATAAATGCTGCAAATACGCCGATTCCTCAAGTTTTAATAAAATTAAAACAACGGTATTTAATTATTATTGTTTTAATAAATCTCTTTTTTTTGTTATCGCTTTGAAATTAATTTAAGCCTGATTAAATAAACCGATTTAATGATTAATATTGTTTGATCAAAAATTTATATTTAATATCTCTGAAAACTGTAGTATTTGTAACAGTTTTTATGATTATATCGATTGGATATTTGGTATTCAAATATTAAGCTGTTATTGCGCGAGATGTAAAAATAATAATGATCAAATTACATCAACGATGATACCTAGGTATTATTATAATTTTCAGATTAATAAATAGGAAGATTACTGAGTTAGATATATTGTATAAGAATTATTCATCTTTTTTCTATATTATAGTTAAATAAATTTAATTTTTATAAAAATAACTTTTTTTTAAAAGACAAGTACAATTTTATTATACTCGTATTTATTTTTAATTTCATTGTTTAGTACCTATATATATATATATATATTTCATTCAAATGTCCGAAAATAAATACTAGTAACTGTCTATTAAATTAAAAACACCTATGTAAGTCAATGTATATATACATGGCCACAACTAGAACCCAAATATTGGGGGTGCTGACATTATTGAAAATAAAGTTGAAGATTATTTCACTGTAATTACTATTGATTAAATAGATCTGAAAAAAAAGGAACAGAAGTGCTACAATTGAAGTCAGGGGTGCTAAAAAACTTATCCCCCTCCTTAAATGCGCTTATGCGGATTTATTATTTTTATGTTTTAAGTTACTGTTCTTAAGAATTTATATTCAAAAAAATTAAATAATAATAAGATTCCAACTATACATTTTTAATCGATCCACATTTTATAATTTACAATGAATAATTTAACAACAAGAAAATACATTTTTTTTTATTTACAATGCTTATACGTATAAATAATAATATATTATTGTTTGCAACAGAAATAATTCATACAAATTTGGGTAAATCGAAAACAATTTCAATATTTTATGAAATACGTTGTTTATGTAGGTATGTCTGTATATAACTGTTTAAATCTGTATCTTTATATATATATATATAAAACAAAATATTTCATTTGTCAATATAACGAATCGAGTTTAGACCGTTTTATTTTATTTATTTATAGATATAGCACATTTGTTCAAATTATTTTAAACGCAAGCCAAAATTATTTGGTACTAGTTATTTCAATATAAACCCTCATCAAAGTTTACTGGTAAATTTAATTTATAATTCAAGCACTTAACGCGTCCTATTTTGTTTATAATAATTTTCCTTCACGGAGGGGTGTGCCGACACGCATAATATATATTCAGACAAACAAGTTCCTGTTTAAATATCACCTGGTCATAAATATTTTTTTTATTTCAGTATTTTTTACTAATTCGAGAGTAACGTTTTTAGATGGCAAATAATTATTGTTGATTTTTTTTTTTAATTTTTAGTATTTAACAGTGGTAAAAACTTTTTTATTATTATTTAACACATATTAAAACATATATTAAAATATTCATACTTTAAATTATGTAGCTCTACCTAAAACGTTGCATCAAACTGCACGTAAATATATAAGGTATAAAATACATCACGAACATAGGTAGATATAGATAGATGAGCATAGATTTACAGATGGATTTTTAAAAAAGTGTAGTGTACATTTAAATCTAAATTCCATCAACTTTTTTGAAATAAAAACTCTCCATCTCGTATTGATATACGTAAATAATTATACAGTTATAACAACAGTCAAAAATAATTATAATAATAAAATCACGCTGAAAAATTTGTATAAAAATTACAATAGTATTATTTACAATTTATATAATTAATTTTTATTTATAAACCACAAAAGTTCACAGATACATGAGAAAAGTAAATAATAATACATGGTAAAAATCATCAAACAAACACGATAAAAAGAAAAAAATCCCAATCAATCATTGAAAAAATAATATCAATAATAATAGTATTTTGAACGGTGAATTGTTACCGCGGTGCTTACAATCTTAAATTACCTGTAAGCAAGGATACATTTTTTCTTAGTACCAGTTATTGAAAAGTTTATCAAATTTAAAATTATTCCATACTGAAAGACCTCTAAAATCGGAAAGTGCGTGAATAGATGTTAAAATCTATTCGACGTGTTTATCATTTAAAAAAAACTGCACATGATCGACGATAAAATGAAAAAACGGCAATTTTAATTTAAGAAAAAGGATACTTGTCATAGGTCCTGTCATAATGTTGAGTGTAGAAAAATTAATTATCAAGAAATAGTCTTCTAGAATTCAAGGTATAAGTATTAAAGTATGAACTTATTGATTCATAGTTATGGTTTGTTTTAACTGAGTGAAGAGTCTAATCGAAACTTTAGGTAACGTAGCAACCGATATTGAATCTTTTCAATTATAAATATGGTTTTTTTTTTAATAAGGGTTACAACAAAGAGCTAACTTTCTAAACTACAAAAACTAACAAAAACGGACTAAATAGGAATTGAAAACAATAATAAATATACTTCTCACTTTTTCCTAAATAAACGAATCAACCAAATTTTTTTTTTTTTTTTATTGTTATTTAATGCATTCACAATGTATATAAAATGTATAATATTAACATATATTATTATATACTTATTTGACAAATCAATAATTTGAAATGTTTTACTATTTTTCTGTGGATTAATAAATAAAAATAAAAGTATTCAATACAAACATTCGGCTCAATTAAGTAAGTAAACTAAGTAGATTGGCTCAAATGATTTATATTTTCACCAAGGGGGAGGGTCATAATGCAAATGCCTACTTCGCCCCACAAAAGTGACGACACTCGAGGATTAACATTAATAACTTCAACATTGATTGTTATTCAGTTTTTATTTTTTTATTTTTTTTTATTAAAAATATTATCACCTCATAGTTATCGTACGTGATAAACGAGACGATTTTTTAAAAACTTATTCTCGTACACGTTTGGATCATGTATATGATTTGACGCGTCTACTGAATAACTATCTATCATTGTTAGTGGACATCTCATTCGAACGTTGCTAGCGATACGGTTAACACTTTTGGAAGGAAAATAATTTTTGTTCTTAATGATTTTTTCGTCATACACGGTTCGCGTGTTCTACAGTTTCTGCGATATGGGAACGCGGTCGGTCCGAACCGATAGAACTGCGTTGACCGGTGACGATCGGTTACGCGCGAACCCAAACACGAGCAGCGGTTTCCCGACGACGTGCACCCGCGCGGGGCTCCGGCCGCATGTAAACGCGCACGGAATCGCTACGGAAGTCGGTCCGGCGTACATCAATTGTTGTTAACGTGTCCGGTGATACTCGTTAGCGAACATTACACAATTTGTTATCCGGAAACTGACAAATCTTTTGCGTAGGAATATTCAAATATCAAATGTTTTTTTAAAGGTGCATAGGAAAACGTTGTTTTAAAATCAGATGACCTATCGTTTAGATGTGCTAATACCAAACAAACGGAAACGAGTCCCGCGTTTGGGTCATTTGTCGCAGTTATTAAAAATTTGTGTGCGCTATTGAGTTGTACATTTGTACGCAAAAGAGTATCGCCCGACGTGTCGCACCCTACGCCGGTGCGTTGAAACGCTGCGCTGGCACGCGAAAGATGTATACGGGCCGCGGTGCGTCTCACGGTCTACTTACAGGGATCCAACGGTCCGAGGACGCCGCGCGAGGGTAGCGCCGTGTACATTTGCGACGGGCGCGCGCGTTGAGGGTAGTGCGGCGGCGAGGCAAAAGTGCAGAAGCGCTGGCGGCCGGGGAGACTCTCACGGAGGTCCGGTCGTTCGTGCACTGGGAAACGTGTGACGAATTCGGCCGCAGAAGTTATGGCTTTCCCACACCGTCATCGCGCGCGGGAAGCGGCGATGGCACACTGCGACGGCGGCGGCGACGATTGGTCACGGAGCGCGCCGCGACGAAATGCAGTCAGCGCTAACGCGATACGATTTTGTCGCGTGTTCGCAATCCGTCTCGCGCGCGCGGGGGGGTTACGGGACAGCCGCCGGGGACGGATCCGGAACGAACCGACCCGTGGGAGAGGGAAACGTTACGAACGTTACGAACCAATACGCGAGTACACCTGAACGCAACCCGAATATTCATCCCGTCCCGCGAGCGAGCAAATCCGATCACGGGTGTATCGTAAAATTTCTGATCGATTGAAATGCATTTCTTCAAACAACCGAACCTTAGGGTCTTTGATCCTTCGACAACGTCTCATCCTGTTTTTCGTAACCGTTCGGTTATCAGAATTACGTGCGTTTAAGGTTTTTTTTTTTTTTTTTTTTAATTTTATTTCTGCACCGCAGTGCGCTGTTTTAAAACCGCGACGTGTTTGGTACAGAATGTAGAAAAACAATGAGTCAGCGCAAGCCGTACACACTGAAAACTGAGCGCATTCGCCACGACCTAATGTACTTTTGATTATTGCACATTCTCCTGTTTTAGGTGAGTGGGTCGATTGCCTATCGGTACAATAATTGAATTATGACTGATATTATTTCAGTCGACTTATTTCACAGTGTATACAGATCGGAAGACGCGATCAAGGTCGTGGCGTACCAAGCGTTTGACGTTATACTTGGTTTCCGTTTTGGATCCGTCACTAGTTTCGACCGGAACGGCACACCGTCGAGGAGGATGACGACGACGACCGCGACGACGATAATGTGTGAACACGTTGTTGTATTGTTAATATTTATGACTCGCGTTCGCAACGGTCCGCGTGCAAATCGGACGAGGGTCGCAATGAAAAAAAAAAATGTAAGAGAACGCTTCGCGAGGGTTGATGTGCGTGTGTAGAATATGCTCCGAGTGCACTACTGCACGCTCGGAAAGGATTAGCCGTTTAACAGAACAAACAATGGTGTGTGTATCGTGCACGCACGACGCGGTCATATGGTTATACTGCTAACCGAGCTCTGTTTGAACGTGAGTTTCAAGTGCGGTGACGCTCTATTTTTATCTTTCACTAAACATTAGTTTTCGATTTTTATTTGCTGTATTTTAACATTTTTTCAATCAAAAAGTTTTGAAAATCGATGGGAGATAGGAAAACAAATCAAATTTTTAGATGTTGAACAAGTACCCCGTAAATCATTGTTAATGTAGAACATAATTCAATGTGAATCTGTTAATATTTTTATATATATTTTTCTTTTGGCTTATTCAATTATATTAATCATATACTTGCATTTTACTGGATGACTATCTTTTAAAAGTCTCGAAACTGAAAGTATTTACAAGAACATAATTGTAGGTTAGAATGTTAGGTGACTAATGTGTGCGGCAGACGGCATAAATGCGCATTTGTAAAGTTGAAATTATAGAGTTGCATTTCAAAAGTGTACGCGTGTTACGTAAAACAACGATGCACATCATACATATTTACACGTAGGGGGGGTCGGTGTTGCGATTGGAATATAAGCTGACTCCCACTACTTCGAACAGTCCGCACTAATATTTACTTATGGTACTTTCATTTATCTTTCATCGTTATGGATTATTCATTATAGAATATAAATATTAGTAAGTATAGTAAGTATATAATAATAGCAGTTGTTGCTGGTCTAATAATAATTAAGTAGTGAACGTTGTCCAGAATATTATTAGAAAGGTCTTCTATTTTGTTCTAAACTCCTCGCTTGACCCACAATTATTATTAAAAAATGTTTGATTAATGGCAACAGTGAAATATAATATAATATAATAAAAATAAAATAATATAATAATATATTATATTAATATAATATTTAATTTAAATATTTTTGTTGAGCAATTATTTAAATAATACATTTTAATAAACAATGTGTCAGTATATTTAAAATAAAAATCACAAAGAATATTTTCTTGAAAGTATTATTGTATTCAGTATTAATTTTATTCTATGACAGGTAGCTGCCATACGTGTTGGTAAGATATTATTAAACGCGTATGGTGTGTATTTTCACTTATGTAAAATTGGCATAACTGTAGGTAATACTACCAGAAATAATTCACATTCTTCGGATAAAATTCAAAGTTTCATAACCATATATACGACTGTAAATTATGCATGACTAATATAATTCACGTGAAGGGATTGAATATATTTGTAAATTTTGAACATTTGTTCTTAATAATAATTGCCTTAAGAAAAAATGTTAATGCATTATTTATTTGGGTCGGACTAAACGCAAATAATGATTGTACGCGCGAAGTATGCTATTACCACCATCACAAAACTTACTTTTTAAACTCACTAGAAAAAAAACTCTTTTATACCAATTGTCTTCTTTTTACAACTGTTACTTTTTAACTTACCAGACACATAACAATGTAATAATAATTATCCGTCCAACTGATCGTCATCAAGTCGTTTGGTTTCGAGTCGGAAAATCTTGGCGAGAAAGACGTCGTTGGTTTTTCGTTTTGCGTACGCGTATAAAAAAAAAAGGCAAAACGCACTAATCAACCAGCGTGTTGGTCGGAGTAAATTAAAAATATTCATAACCGTGTCTGTATCGTTCCGGTCGGTTAAGTCGGCGAAACTTTTTTGGACTAGTCGACTGCGGTAGCCATTTTTCGAGGTACGTCAATTTTATCGCAAAAACGATATTTTAAAACGGTTTTCGACTACCTGGGCTAATAATAATAATAATTATCGCCATAATGAACAAAACGCCGCCGTCACGTTGTTTGTTTTCGATAATATATTAATATAGCCACAACAAACGGATTACGATCATAATCGCGGGTTGCTGCTCCAACGGGTTTTAATTAAAACCTCTCTAAACGATGTTTTTCTCCCACGGGTTCGATGATGATGATAATAATATTGTAATTTATATAGCTGCGTTTACGGTTCCCGATGCATCCAACCCTACCATCATCGCTTACCTCCGCATCTACCCCATCGCCTAAGGGATAATTGTTAATTACATTGGTATGAATATTATTATTATTATTATTATAATTATTACATCGTGGTTAATATATATTATATTGTATTCAGTCCTTTGCTATATCTACAAGTATACTTGCTGTATCTCATCTGACCTTCTATAGCTTCAAGTGTATCGTCCAAAAGACAATCACATTGTAGTACGTGTGTAATATGCGTGTATTATGCGTAAAACAACTTTGGTCTCGAAAAGAAATAATATTTTTTTAGTACTATCTACTATAAAATTTTTGAGTATTTGTGTGCGTGCGTGTGTGTGTGCGCGTGTGAAATATATGTTATTGATATAATTGGTTGCACCACTCCACCATCTGATAAATTATACTTTGACGTATTAGAGTAAAATCATTATTGGAACGAAAATAGATTCATTCTTAAGCTTCATATTAAATGATTAATTAACTAAACCTTATTGAAATTAAATGCGATTATGAAATAAGTATTTATCATGTGAGTATTCATGTGAAAATACAACTTACATATTAATAAATAATATGTAATACGTATACTGTCAAAGTCCGATAACTGGTTGGTTTAAGATTAGAATGGTTCATTTTATTAGAAATTAGTATCTAATAACTATGTTATAATAACTTATAACTATTTATTCAAATACTTTATTATAATAGTATAATCTTAATGTACCATTACTATAAATATGTGCCTGGAAACAGCTCAAATGTCTTTAAAATATTTAGAAACTATGAAAAATCTTTGACTAAACAACTAATATTGTTTAATAAAAATCTTTTAAAATATCTCATTCCATCAATATTTCATTCTGTAAAACTTTTAAAACATTTTTGCAAATTTCTGGAAAATTTTTTTTAGCTACAAATATGTAGCGAATTTTAGTGGTAATTATCATTTTGTTAAAATGTACTATTCTATTATTCAAACGCTCTTAATTTTTTTTTTTTAATTAAACTCAATTTTTTTTTATTTATCAATAATATATATGAAAAATGTTGCATTTAATTTTCAAAACCTTTTCTCAAACCAAAGTTATTTAACCGTAATTTTTAAAAAATAACTATGTAAACATGAAAATTTCATTAATCTCTTAGGTTGTGATGGTCGGAGCAATATTTCTAGTAGAAACGGTGAACACGAACGGAAAGAAAAGTATTATGTGACAAAATAAAAGGCGATTATTTCTAATGAGGGTTCGAATTTTAGTTGAAATTGAAAATTTTCGCAATTTTTTCCCAATTTTTCTCCGTTATTAGTAAAATCGATGTAAATCGTACAAGGTATAGTAATTTATGTATAGAGTATAGTGATATTATACTAGATAACTTCAAAAAAATAATTACGAACCCGGAAATTAACTTTTCTGAAGTGTACAACCAGGCAAACAACATGGTGTAGTAGATCAGCCATTACGTACTTCACCCGTACCATGTGCATCCACGGTTAGTATAAATTACGTTTCCATACCCGAAAACATTGTTACGGTGCACGTTGAAGTTTTAAAACCAAACGCTACGTGGTTTTTAAAAGTCCAAACCTCGTTCACGGTCCGTGCGTCCTTGGTATTATTTAATTTATGCGTTCGCGTACAACACGTGTTTATATACACAGTTGAACATGTAGGTATGCAATGCGCGTATGTAAATATTATATTATAACAGAAAGTGAAAACAAAAATCGGCGTAATACTCGTACGTCACGCTGTATGACATATGTGTGCGTGTGCAGTATAATTTATACTGTACATGTGCGTGCGCGAGCGTATTATGTGTAACGTTTTTGCGTGCAGCGATAAAAAAAATAAAAGATTTTTATCGTCGTGGAAGCGTATTATCCAGAAAAGCACGTAGTTACGCTCGGAATAATTACAACGGACGAAAACATTTGAGTGTGCACAAACAATCGTGTTTTTCGGTCGGGATTTAAACGTTTTGTTTTCGTACGCTTTTGTTGCGCTTTGTAACGGTGTTGATATCACCACGTCGTCGTCGTTACTCACGAATACGTCGTAGGAACTGACTGCGACACGGACAACAACGGTTGTACAACGTTATGACGCGTGAACAGGTCACTCGTCGTTATCTCAGTGGAAGATACGCAAACTCGACGTGTCGTATCCGAACGCCGCGGGTCGTCGTCGCACAGTGCGAAGGAATCGATTCTGGCGCGCCATAAATAAAAAAAAATTGTACATAAAACGAGATATAATCATAGGCGCAACTAGGGGGGCTCGGGGGCTGAGCCCCCGGGCCATGATTTAGTCCCTCTCATAAATGATCCATATTATACATAGCATACCACATACAGCATACTCAACTCACAATATATATACGCAATAATAATAGCCAATGAAATATTTTGCGGAATGTTCCACTCGAAATAAACAACGCAAATCTACAGTATTAGGAAATTTATGCAATACGCTAGAAATGAAGAATGCTTCAAAATTTAAAAATGTATCAGTGTAAAAAGAGCGCTTGTAATACACGAGAAACAACCACATCCACTTTACAGGAATCAAAAAGTTTTTTAATGATAAAAAAGTATTATGCTTGGTTCGGCAGAGGAAGCGTTAGGTTTAATTTTGGATAGTAAATTAAACAGCAACACATCAATGTATTAATATACGGGCGAAACTATAGGAATTTATAAAATTGATTAACTATGGAAAAATTATGTATTATTTTTCGTAAATAAAAATTAGTCCACCGAAATAACAATTTTGACGTGCCAGAATTGATTTCATCTCGCCGCGCGAAGAGAACGTATCTCCCGTTGCCCCCTTCCCCCTCCCATTCCGATAGCGGTCTCTTGTCCGTGCCTGATGATTAGGGAACGGATTTGAATGCAAATTGCATTTATTTCAGAATCTTCGAAAACATTGCTTTCCAAGCACGAAGTTCATTTCATACATAAAGGAATTAAAAAATGTAACTTTTATTTTGTATTTTTTTGCATTTTTATATAAATTTTTTGCTTGGAATTATAAAAGTTTTAAAAAAATATTCTTTAAATTTAAATTGATTAACAGTATCGTCTTGTCTCATAAATTAGTTATTCGTACGAGGGCCGGTTGATTGTACCTATACGTAATTCTAAAAGTTTGAAAATCCCCGTTCGTATCGTTGGCGTGAAACGAACTTAATCGTAAATAACCTCGATAACGTCGGGATGCGCGATAACGGCAAATAACTAATATAAAACTACATAACAATCAACATTAAATTTTTTATAATTATACGTTTTTTATAAGTTAAACGTTATAATAACAATATTAATACACTATACATACACTAATCTGTTTTAAATTGTATTTTTTAAATTTTTTAGTGCAGTTTTTCGATATCACAGCGTTATTTCAAGGCATCAAGTCGTATTTTTTCAGGACATTTTCCTTGTTTTTTATGGCATCAAAGCCCGTTCCCTACCGATGATCAACGGCGAACACGTAACGATTGCCAGTCCAACGCGTCTACAGATATCATGCACGGAGTGGCGTCGTCGTCGCGGTGCGCCGAGCGAACCGCCCTCGGATGCGCGCCCAACCGTATTGCGACGTGCTGATGCGTCACGCGATAAGAATTCGCGTTGCGCGCGGCTAATTGAACAGCCCTGCACGGCGCGTGCGAACAAATACGCGTCTTGTCGCGCCTAACCCGCGCGGCCAACTCTTTTCCCCCCGCCCCCTGCCCGTCCGTACACGGTTAAACGATCGTACCACGGGATTCGCGCGTACCGTTTACCCGTGACGACCGGCCACGTTCGGCTGCACGAGACGGACAAATCGCTGATCGTCCCGCGGTGCACGTGCCGCTGGCGCACGCGCTCAATCGGTCACGCCTGGACGTGCGCCGATCAGCCGACGCGGTTGTCTTACGACGACGACGACGACAATAATCATTTTTTTTTTTTTTTTTGTTCAAGACCTATTGCCAACCGTCGAAATCCGTCGAGTCAGATTTTCCTGTACTTCCTCCCGCGATGTAACATTTAAACTTAAGGCCATGGAACGAATACAATTACTGTACTGTTAATTAATTACTACAAAATAATGATATAAACTCGTATTTTAACACATATAAACATATGTATGTACGTTAAATAAATAAATAATATATTACGCTTCACGACGTTACCCGACCTCCTGAGGATACATAACGCGCCCGAGCCGATGGAGTTCCGACGTGTCCCTCGTCATACCGCGCACAGCAGTGTGCGTTTGCCATTGTTACCGTGTAAACGAACAACGACTTGGGACGACTTTGGTGTACGATCGGTGGCGGACTCGAGGGTACGAGTGTGTCGGACCAAGTGAAATCGTCTCCGGTCTTCGACGCGCTAATATAGACAACCCTGTACCGTTGTTTTTGACCTGTTGAGCGTCGGACGTGTTACCGCGATTGCCGTTATTCGCATACGCTGTATATGTTGTGCTCTTACTAAAAATCATCGTGTTAGTTTTTATTTATTATCTTTGAAACGATGCTGTGGATTTGTAAAAACAACATTACAGCACTACGGCGGTGGTTGTTATTGTTATTCAATCAGCCCTTGTTAATAAAAGACTTCGATGTTCAACCGTCGAGATTGTGCCTCGAAACGTGTACAACGATGAACACCGAGAACCGTATGCTATCAATAAAATTTCATTAAAAGTAATCGATACGTGCGTTAAAAACATTTCGCAGTAGAACTGCAATGTTAACACAATTTCTGATAATAATTAATTTAATTTTAACTGTATTTTTGAAGTTTTATACAATTTAAAGCACATTGATACTTCGAGAGAAACAAAAATATGTGCTAAACTATTGTTTTATTTTGAATTCGTGTTCAATGTTGAGGCAAAAGATGCTAAAGGATCCCCGAAGAGTCATAAAAATGGCAAGTTATTTACCGCATAAAAAATGGTTATTTTTTTCAGGGGACAACCTCATGTCTGATCACAGCTTGAACGAACCCCAGGGACCGATCGCTTATTTGAAACCAGACCAGAGACTAATACTCATCCCCTCCAGTCACGATGCATACACATATATGTGTATACAGTTACACGCTTGTTCGTACCACAAAGTATAAAATAGTTATAATCAGTTATCACTGTACTCCGTTTCAAATATTATGTTGTTATCGTAGGATATAAATCACACGGAAAGCGTGATTGATTTTTGATTTCAAGTTTTTAGTATCAATAAAGCACATACCTACACTCATAAGTTATACGGATTAATGTAAAACATTTTGCTGTCGTTTACCATATACATATGCATGTATAAAATAATATAATCGTGTAATGAAGGACCTAAGCATAATTTGGTAAGTATAAAAATATTACTTTAACCTTGTTGGATTTGTAGAAAATACATCGGATTAACTGTTATAAATGAAAATTGTAAGCACTATTTTACTGATATTGATGCTTTAAGAATACTTATATATTTTTTGTATCGCTAGTAATTAGTCCAATCGTATTCGCAGTGTTATTCGTATGTCACCATCCGGTGCAACACGATTGCCCAATTTTTCCTTTTTTGACCCGATTAATTACACCACAATTGCGCACCAAATTATGTGTGGATAATATTATGTATAATAATTTATGTACAACATAAAATAATGTATACAATATATACTTTCCATTATTTGCATATACATGCACTCAAACTATTAATTCACAAAATGCATTTTTTCAAATCCAAATGAAAATTTGATTGAGCTAATGATAGTTATAATAATAATATCGACAAATGACTATCAGTTAAGAAAAATAAAACAATTTTAAGTAAAAAAAATGTCGACTATTAACCATATCAGTATATACATTTAGCATACATGTAGTTTAGAAAAAAACAATTATTAACTAAGCCAACGATGATAATTTGTTGGCAGTCCGAAACCTGTAATAATTGGAGAAAAAAATTGTGAATTAATAGATAATAAGTTCGAGTGCATGTATATGAAAATTATATGTAGAAATTATGTATTGTATATATTATTTTATGTTATACATAAATTATTATACATAGTATATACACATATTATTATTTGGTGCGCAATGGTATTATGATTTTATCAGGTAAAAAGAGATCGGGGCGCAATCATGTTGCAGCCGTCATCAACACATCATATTCAAGGCCAAGTCATATAAATTAAAATATTAAAACAAAAAATTGTCTCAGGTTTCTTGTCTTATTTATATGGTTTATAAAGACCTTCTTACTCTTCAATTCTATCACTTACCTTGGTAATTAGACTCTTAAATTAGGAACAACAACATTAATTATATTATTAATTCGTACGTGGAATTAACTCAATTTTAGTTTAACAATTAAATCAAGTACGAAAAAAAATATTTTTAAATTTTGAATCACAATTATTCAATTTGACTTATACAATATGCAATAACGATTTATTCGCTTCCCTTAGTAAAAAATGATCCAACAATTATTTAAAATATTTATTACAAACTTTTTCATAATTATGAACTATGGTACAATTATATGTATAAGCCCCAATATTTATTTATTCACAGGCATTGTAAATAAAATAATTTAATGCATAGTCGTATAATATTTATATTACACACAAATAAGAAAATCATAAACATAATGCAAAAAGGTCGAAATTCTAATCAATCGAAGTAGAACAATGACCCGTTTGATTCAGATGGAAATCATCTATCAGCTACCTTTATCAAATAGTAAGCACAATAATATTTGTATTTTCTAACCAATACACATTTTTACTATCTGTATTTATATTTTTTCCGAAGGTGAAATTATAAGGAATTACGTTTATATGATGGCCAACATGTAAAAAATGTTTTCAGTATAAAAGCCAAACATTGGTCAAACGTTCGACATGAATCACACATTGTTTCTTTGATTCAGAGTTCTTCAAAAATGAACACGAAAATATTAGCAATACTAACTGTGACTTTTTTTTTTACCGAGGTAAGATAGAATATTTAATCTTACTAAAATTATTACGAAAAGCGAATTAATTAATAAATAAATAATATCATTCTTTTATTTGTTCGTATTTATATCAAGGCTAAAGCAAATTTTTATAGTGGTTTTAAGAACCCGTCATCATGCTGTGGCTCCGAACCGCCTTATGGACAACTTCCACTATCCTACAATACAGCTTCTTGTGCTCAATATCCTTCATTTCCGCCTACAGCATTATTTCCATCCCCTTCGTTGCTGAAACCCTGTGCTCCAACTTCACCGGGTTCATGTCAGATTCCGGACGCTCCGCGACCGACATCTTTCCAAAACCTAGCTTATTTTCCTTCGTCCCAGTCTCCTTACCCTGTGCCATGTGCTCCGCCACCACTCTCTTACCCAGCTCCATGTTCTCCATTGTCGATTTCCTATTTGTCACCTTTTACACCTCAATTTTCATATTTTTCCTCATCTTCCGACACAGCCTCTTTTAACCCTTCTCTGTTGGCCAGCTTTAAAAACACAAAATCTTCAAAGCCTTCAAAGCCTTCTTCTCATGCTATAGCGTCCTCGTACAATACACCTCCAACACGCTTAAATTCTTGTAAGCTCCGGCCATACCGCTCTCCAAAATTCATACCTGTCCAATTAAAATCATTACCGAATTTAAAAGCACCATCGTGTGGCGCTGTTTCTTCTTCCAGTCCTTGTCAACCAGGATTCGGCTTGAACCCATCCGTTTTTGCCAAACCAATATGCAACTATAACTAATTACGATCTTTCACTACACTTGTACGGATGTAAATAATATTTTCTTCGCAAAAAACATAGATCTCACCGTTTTAAGACTTCAATCTGTAAAATAAAATTAGTTTTATAAAATTGATATTGTTTTTTTAGTTATTTTATTGTAAACAATAGTACTGTAAATTTTAGAATACACACGAAGACATAATTTACATATTCAATGTTATTTATTTGTAATGAAAAAAGTGTATACTTATGTTTAGAATCTGAGAATTTATGCTTCTATACATGTAGTATTATTTATATTTATTGACAAGCTGTAAATACTTATATAATTTATAAATAAATTATTTATTATATTTAAAATAATTTTATCAATTTACAAATTAATGGTAAAAGTAATGATTACGGAAATCTTTTTTTGACAACCATTATTTACCCTCTATAAATATGAATAATATTTAGTTTTTAATTTTATCGATAAATATTAAAACAATTTGACGTTAGTTTATTGATCTTACTATGTGTTTACACTTTAAAGCATGATAAGTAAAATGAGAATAATAAATAACAATAAAATTTTTTTGGTTGTAGTCGTTATATGTCTAAATTTCAAACCCCAAACAGTCTTATCATAATATACAGTTGTAATATTATCACATTATAATTGTGTAACATAATTCTAAGTATTTCTGATTAACATTCACTGTATATAAATACAATTTAGATAAAAAAAACCATAATTATTTACTATACAATGATTAAGAACGTGCTCCGAACATAGAAAACAGTCAACAATTTTGAGTATATAAACTTCAAAAAATTATAGCCACTTTCTTGATACTTAAAATCTCAAAAACGCGAAGAACAATATGGCTGATTTTGTAATTTTAGTGACCGTAACTATGGTGTCAATATTAACCAAGGTAAGATATAACAAAGAAAAACTATTTTAAGTATTACTTACAATGTTAAATTAAATTAGAAAAATACCTGTCTTCGTGGATTGTTTTAACGGAAAATTATTTTCGAATCAACTTTTTAAATATTAAATAACAATTACTAAAAAAAACTTCAAATACATCAATACTAATCATTATATTTTTATTATTATCATAAAATTAATGCATCGTTATGCTATGGTTTCGATTACTACTAAAAAATTATTGAAAATTTCTAGTAATGAACCGCGTTATTGGTTTGTGTAGGTCGGAAATGCAGGTGTACGTTCGATTTCTTCTTGCGGATTATTTGGAATAAATCCCGATTCAATGGATTTATTGCCGAATACTGAATACACTTCAGCGTTGTCTTCTCCGTTGCCTTTACCAACTTCAGTTTCTACATTTGCCTCTATTTTGGCATCAAAACCTTCACCAAATTTAATTCTTACGCCAGCTTCAAACGAAGTTACACGATCATTTGTATCAACCTCTGCTTCAAATTCGTTCACTGAATCTACCACGCATCGTTTGCTAAGTTCGGCCATTCATTCTTCAGTCGTACCGCCATCTACATCCGTTCCGCTGTTAGCGTCATCGAGTTCAATTTCCACCACATCAACGTCCTCTGAATACACTTCTACACCTTTATCTGGTTCAAAACCTACTCCTGCAACTCGATCATCTAATACTGCTCCATTGCAGTTACCAAGTTTAACTCCGACCACATCAATCCCATTATTTTCACCGATTTCAACTCCAGAACAGTCATTTGCATCTAATCTTTCACAATTGTTGAAACCATTTCTAACCGAGTTTCCGTCGTCTACATCTTCTCCGGTGCCTCCACCCGATTTATTTATTCCTTCACAGGATACAATGACACCTTCAAATTTTTCATCAGAAAATAATATTAAACTGGCTTTACTAGAACTATTATTGAAATTATCGACTGAGTTAGACCAGCAATAAGTATTCAGTTTTAAATGACATTTTACTGGTTTTTCATTAAATTATCCAATGTTTTTATTATTGTTCATCTATTTGTTTTCTATTTAATCCTATTGAATGACTTGTAGCTTCTTTTGTTATAAGTAATAAGTTAAACTAAGTTTTTACAACCGTTATCGCATTAAATGATATGAACATAATATTACGTAGTATAATATAATGTGTACTTGATAATTTGTTATAGGTACTGTTGAATAATATTAGTTATTTTTTGTATAAGTGATAGTATATAGGTGACGAAAAAATAAAAATTAATAGACGTAATTGAATAAATGGTAAAAATATTAAATAAATAAGTGAATAATATTTTTATATTAATGATTTTATTAATATTTTATTACTAATGCCTTTGCCCTATTTAAACATATATGGAAAAGGTTTCTAATAGTTCTTTATTATATTATAATTATTAATGGTTTTACAAAAAGTTTCGATTAGACATTTCTTACAGGTTTATTAATAAGCTCTTTTTAACTTATTAAATAAATTTACTTAATTTCAATATCATTATTACTCGTAGTTACCCAATATATTTGTTATTATTGTTTGAAAATATTATAAGTACAATCAAGCATGATTTAATACGTATAACAATCACACTAAACTGATTTACATAATGCCATTTGGCAAATATTACCAACTTTGATATTTCAATGGTTATTTGAAATCATCAAACCAGTGTAATAAATATTAGGTTGTTTTATTAAAAACTAATTTTTTGCTTAATATTTCCGAACGGTCTACCGATATCGTATTGTTGCGAACGTTAAACATGGTCATCGTGAATATTATAATAATAATATGATAACTAGACTTATATTAGCATTTGAATGTGATTCGGGACGACTAACTTGTGTTCCACACTCGTAATTATCCATTTCATTATGCATAAATCCTATTCAAAATGCCATGGGAGTATAAAACAATCACCAATATGATAATTTTTACCATTTGAACTACGTTCTCATAATTTGTTCATAAATCATGAGCCAGCTCAAATTTCACTTACTATAATATTTAATTACAATAATATTAAAGCAATATGTGTTTTAACATTTATAAAAGCAAATTAATGGTAAATTATATAATAATCATATCTGATGCTTGATTTTTTGTTACAGATATGACTTTATAATATCTTAAGATATGGTAATATCTTAAAATCTTATAATATGGCTTTTAATGGCTAAATGTATCACTAAATCGGTCTTTATGTACTCTATAATAGAACAAGGTTCCACTCTAAAAATCACGCTGCAAAATTTGCGCTCGTTTTGTATATTATTTGATACAACTCAATTTGATGTTTTAATTTATTTTGTTAAATGTAAACTTGATATTTTGGTAATGAATGAATCGATCAATATCGGATATGAAACGAAGGAGAACACTGAACATAAAATGTTACAAATTTTGTAATTAACAGTCATTCAACAACTTTAATATTATGAATCTAAAATTACGAAAAAAAAATATACCTAATGAAAATGATAAAATCACATCATAGAAATACCAATGCATTTTTTGCTTTACTCGAAATCTAAAAGGAATAAAAGAGACAAATCATTATAATTATTTAATTTTCCAAGTTATTTCATCGAAACGTTTTTATTAAAATACTCTGTTGTAATATGTTTTCAAATGAATGAATTAGATACATATTACAGATTAACACAAACAATTATTGACTATTACGAGTAATGGTAGTCTTGAAGTAAGTATATCATTGAAACAATAAAATCCGTACATTACATTCGTTTACGAATATAATCGTTTCGATTTTAACCGATAAGTGTGAGGTATAAACCTGAGTGGTTGTGACAAGAACAATTCCGAAATAATTGCTGACGACGAATGTCCTCTAAAAAATAATAACATGACACAAGCATGAATATTATATCTTATGGTAGTACAATATCTTCAACGACATAGTTTTACATGTATGTACTGCACACACACACAAACACATAATTACAAAAACACTACACACACATCAACGATTCGAATATGGTGTTAAAATGATATTATTTTTGAAAATATGATAAAAGAACACATTCGAATTAAAAACGGAATAATATTGTGTCGTATAACAACACATATTTATATATACACTATATATCTATATTATAACAGCTACTCTTATATCGTCGTCATCGTCGAGTTTCCGTTCTTCTCGCCCCTTTATTGTCCGTTGCTAAACAAGTAGTCAGCTCCTCCTCCTTCTCTTCTCCGACCGACAAGATTTAAATGGACAATAACAATAATAATTTCGTCCTTCTCCTTCTCGGCACACACACACACACACACACACACATATATATATGTTAAAATACGACGCAGCAATTTCGCTTAGTAGAGCTCGTCGACCCGGCGGCGGCGGCGGCGGCGGCGCGAACAGAAGGAACATCGCATGAGAACGGCGACAATATGATGGCCAGGCGCCCGTCTGCCGACTGCGTTCTATATTATATTATATTATATACCCTTATAATCCCGCGCGCCGGTGTGTTGTAAACCGATTACCGCCACTGATGCACGGGCAGCAGATACGAGAGACGCTGTACGATGATGGTGACGATATCGCCACCGCAACTTTTATTGGTCCGTGCACACGTATATCTGTGTGTGCGAGCGTGCGAGTGTGTGTGTGTGTGTGTGTGTGTGTGTGTGCGAGTGTGTGTGTGTTCACTTCACGTTTCATATATACAAAAATATTATAATGGTTTGCCGCCACGTTTACCCAACACGCTGAGCCTTTATATGTGGTCGGTGTGTGTGTGTGTGTGTGTATACGTATTTATATTATAATATCTATACTTGTGTGTGTGTGTGTGTACGGTATTAATAACGGAAGGATAATAAATGAATGATCTTCTCAGCGAAGTCCGCGGGCGGGAGGAGCAGATTTTCATATTCATTTTATGGTTGGCCGGACGGACTTTTAAGTCCGCATCCTGCACACATGCAGTCGTACTACGGCATCACGACATGCCGATGAGGACTCAGCTGCAGCCAGGTTAAAAAAAAAAACAACACTCTCCCGAAGAATTATTAATTTCCCCGTCGATCCGTATTATTTCATATCATGGTTATAATAATATGTGCTCTTCGAGTTTCGTGCTCAGTGCGTAAGTTTTTTCGCGTCCTTTCTCGACTTTTTCTACCCCGTGTTTCTGGTATTAGCACCGACGAAAAGTTATGATCCCGTATTATACCGTATCTTAAATCGTATGCACGTACGATCTTACCATATGCATTTACTCAAAGTTCAGAAAGAAATCGAATCACATCAAATAATCTTTATCTGTGTACGATTATGTGTGCAATTATGGACGTGCACAATATTATTATTGTTTTCCGTTTCGTTTTTTATACAACATAATCTATTTGTACTTGGCAGGATATTTATTGGAGAAATATTACATCTCTAAAGACCAGGCGCGTATCCAGAATTTAATTTCGGGAGTGGCTAATAAAAATTTATAAACGTAGTCATGTACGAAAACAAAAAAATAAAATTTAATGATTTATATGTTTTACAATTTATACAGTGAATTAGCTTTTAAGTACTAAATAATAAGTTTTAAACGTTTGGCTCGTTCACTAACTAAAATCATATCATCAGTTATAAAAATATTTCTATGAATATTTAATAATACTAAACCAATGATATGATTCTCTGAAGTTGAGTTTCTCAAACATGTTTTTAACTATCGCAGCGAGGAAAAACTGCGTTCAGCACACGCAGTTGATACAGGAAGTATGGCAAGTATTTTCAGCAGTTGATAGAGATTAGGGTACAATGTTTTATCACAAGAAATTAAAGCGTCTGAGGAGGTAGAATGTCTTGATGATAGCACTACTGAGATTCATTTAGAAATCCATTAATCGTGCATTGAACTGCAGCTCTATACTGCTAAGTGATTATTATCAACAAGTTTATTAAATACTATCTATGCTTCTTAGTATTACCTCCCGTGATAAATATTGTCTGAGTGGTAAGATAAGCTAACAAAATAAAAATATGAATTTAAAATCAATAAAATGAAATTTAAGACTTTTGCAGCGATTTTCATAGACCATGAAAATATTTTTTAGATTTTCTTAAAATTTCAGGGGAGGCTGAAGCTCACTCAGCACCTCTCCCCATAAATATGCCTCTGCTAAAGACATACTCCGTCAAAGGTCATCACGCACAATTTTTTTTTTTGTAAAATGAAAATAATTAATACGCGCACAGGCCTGATTGGCCGTTGGCTTTTTATTATCATGTAAATTTTCATATGTTACCTTTTGTCTTTTGTGCGTGTATGTATTAACATAAGTACAGCAAACAATGAATGAAACAGAATATTATTATTAAACACATTATACGTTTTAATTACTAAAAGTATAATACAAGTTATACATACGAAAATACATTGCAGTCATGTTATAAAAATATGTACGTTAGACAAAAGGTTAGATTTCATAATACGGAGTAGTATTTAATAATATTTCTCAAGTTTACCGCAAGTAAATATCATAAAAATTCTTGTTTAATATTTTTTTAATTTATTATTATAAACTTTCAGCTATTTGATGTTTTTTGTTTAAACAAAAAAAAAAAAGTTTTCAAAGTGAAATTCATTTTATTATTCAAAAATCATTATGATTGATTATTCAACAAAAATATGACGAGAAAACCTAATATTAGTTTTTATATTTAGTTTTCGGCATACTACTATAAAGAATGATTTATGAATAAAGTACTGCAAAATCGTACTGTAAATCGTTGTTGACATACAAATTCACATTTTTTGTTCTTAAAAATCTAAATTGAATCGACAACAATAATTCACACTAAATAAAATCAATGAAACAGGTATTTCGTCAAATTTTTATTCGTTAGTAATATAATTTACAATATAATACAAAATATGTGATATCTATATAGATACATTAACATATTATAATTTATTATTCGTGTTTAAAATAATATTATTTTTATTCATATTTTTCTTATATCATTGATAAAATATATTAA